ATATATATTATGGAAATATTTGCCTCGTAGTGAACCTCGTTTAAACGCATTGTGCGAATTGTGTACGGAAAGTTACGCGCGCAATACATTCCGCGCGAACGTAAATTAAATAAAACCTTATCTCGTTTACTCTAGCTCGACATTTAATCTTTTTGAATAATATGGATAAACAGCCATTATATACGAATTTTCACGGCATTTAAATTTCTGATCTCTAACAAATATCCGCAATACACGTGAAATTGGTATTTACGCTTCAGTGTACAAAATACGTTCGAATTAGATGCCATACTATGTATTCTTTTCTGAATCGAGTACACAGCTGGTATTGTGTAAATAGATAATGGTGCGTAACGAATAGCGCGAGTATTTGTAATTAAAATCGATAATTTGTAATTAAAATAAATGTATCAGTCTCCTCCGTGCATATCTGTAGTCATTCTTTCAGATATTTGTACTATTTTGTTTTAAAATTAATCGAATACCATTATATAACTTGAATTACACATCAAAATATGTTTAGCTATTGCAATATTATTACCTAATAATAACGCTGATTAGTCGTAAAATTTGGCATTAATAAAATGCATGTCGGTATATTAAAAATGAAAAGAAAATGGTACATCTATGGTTGAGAAGCGAAAAAATTGTACTGCTAAAAGGAGAAGATACAGTGTCTGTGAAATTTTTGAGCGTTTCTACCTCCCGGAATCGATTTGAAATAGAATTTACCGAATATCATTATTGTCAAGTAACTTTTACTAGAGTCCCATATCTCGGAACGCGAGAATTATCGCAAACTAGATCAAAAGTATATCGAGTAGACTTTCGGGATGGCGACCGATCGAAGTCTCCGGACACCATTTCCCTCCGCCTCTTCTGACATCTCCGCGAACTTTTTTATTCGATAAAATTCGCTCCCGACGCAAGAGAACTTTTATCTCGGAATTCATTTGATTACAACGAAAGCCTCGTTGGTGGAGAGTCGCGCCTTGCTTTTATTAAAAGCACACCCACTCTTTTCTGTCGCAGCCTCGTGTATTCGATACGAGATCACGAGTGGGAACATAGGCGGTGCATTCGCCGTGAAAAACATGACCGGTGCCATTTACGTCGAGGGTGCGTTGGACTATGAGAAGAGGAAGAGGGTTGGTATCGCCATAAATGTCGTCCGAGCGTGCCACGCTCGAACGCCTCACTATACTTTGTAGCTCTATTTAGCATCCATGTTCTATTTAGAAATTATTCAATGTTTTTAACGATCTCTCTCTCTATTTTTTTTACTTCCGTAAAAATATTTGAAGAACAAAAAATTAATCCACTTAATTGTTTAAATATTGTATAAATGTAATACCGAGGTTTACTTTATGCATGCACTACTTTCACAATAAGTCGACAACGAAAAGTATAATACTGCAATTGATAATGACATAATAATTCATAATTTATACAATAAGAATTGAGTTAATTGTATCAATTAATAATTGATTATAATGACAATAGAGTTAGTTATACCAATTGATAATTAATATAATGACAATTGAGCTAATTATCCTCCTCCGTTTCACGATGCAAGCCGTATTTAATGTACTAAATATATTTGAATTTACATGTGATATTTCACAACAAAATTCGCGCGTGCATCTTGCAGTACGAGCTTCGGCTTACTGCGTCGGACAACTTGAAGGAGAATTACACGACGGTTGTAATTCACGTGAAGGACGTAAACGACAACCCGCCCGTCTTCGAGCAATCAAATTACAGACCACTAATTACCGAGGAGGACGACAAGACTCTACCGAAACGCGTATTCCGGGTAATTGCTCTCCTTATGTAACTGTTACGTCGAACTTTCAACGAATATTACGTTTGTGTGTGTATGCGTGCGTGCGTGCGTGCGTGCGTGCGTGCGTGCGTGCGTGCGTGCGTGCGTGCGTGCGTGTGTTTGCGCGCGCGCGTGTGCGTGTGCGTGTGTGTGTGTGTGCGCGCGCCGAAATGAAAATGTTTACCACAGTCCGCGTGTTTACGGTCAATTAGCAATTAACACTTTGCAACGCAGGTCACCGCGACTGATGAGGATAAGGATAGACCGCAAAACATCGTCTACTTCCTAATTGGTCAGGGCATCGATCTCGATAATCCTGCAAACAGCAAGTTCGACATTAACCGGACTACCGGAGAGATCTTCGTTCTGAAGGTCTGTTTTTCCAAATCAATCGATATAAGAATTTTATCTCTCTAAAGGATTAAACCGAGGTGTCAATCACTATTAAAAAATATATATATACAGTGATTGCCAATTATATGGCAATACAACACACTTTATTGCTAGCATTACTACTGTATTGCTTTCGTATTGTCAGTAATATTGCCATGTATTATCTCATGTACTGTCACCTATTACTTCATGTACTGCCATCTATTGTACATAATATTGCCAAGTATTGCTAATATATTACTATGTATTGGATATTGCGTATTGCTAGTATTGTACTGCCGCAATACTAGCAATATATTTCTAAAGGAATGTACACTGATTGTCATAGTGGTTGACCTCTCGGATTAAACCAATAGATAATAATTATAATCCCGTATAAAAATACGTATACCGTATATGTGTGTATTAAACACACAAAACTATTCACGAATATAATTTCTTATATTATATACATTTAACCGTTACTGTGCATCGCAATATAGAAAGCATTACGAATTTTTTTCGAATTTTTAATATTAATGGTAGAAAATTAGAAAGCGTGACGTTTCTTTCATTAATAATTACGAATTAATTACGAATTAATGAAGTTTAAAATTAAACAGTCTCGTTTGCATTCATCTTACAGAAAGTCGCAATAAGTAAGCTTTCTGACATAACTGGCTAACTTGATATAAATTTTCGCTTCAATAAAGATTTAACTTAAAACGTTAAAACGTATGTAAAATTGAGAAAGATGACTTGGGAAAAGTCGAATATTGATATTTAAACACCTGATATAATTTGACACCTGGTCGGCAAGGAAATTAATTCTTCTGTGACCACAGAATGTACGTGGCGAGCGACGCAATATTGCGATGGAATAATTCAAATATCGGCAACGCGGATACGATATTAAGTTTCGGGTAAAGACCGTGTCAATAGACGACCTCGTCCACGTCAAGTCCTACCCCCGCTTGACTGGGCCTCTTAAAGGACTCTCGCGCGTGACTCTCCTTTTTCTTCTGCCGGTCTAGCCGCTGGACCGAGATCAACCGAATGGCCGGCCACAGTGGCGGTTCACCGTGTTTGCCCAGGACGAGGGTGGAGAAGGTCTCGTAGGTTACGCTGACGTCCAAATTATCGTCAAGGACATCAATGACAACGCCCCGATATTCCCGCAGGGTATCTACTTCAGCAACGTTACCGAGAACGGCACCGCAGGTTTGTGGGGGATGGCCGATGGGCTAATACACAGACGCTGTTACATTCCCGATGCCATTAGAGTTACGCTGATTATATAGATTGCCGTCCCCGTCATATAATAGTTACGCCGTTACACGGGGATCTACGCGTGTCGGATCGTCGGCGATTTGCATATTCTGAAGCTTACGATAAAGATAAAGAAAAATTTGTCGATCTAATTGAGAGATTAGTAATTTATTCTCGTCAATAAATGAAGAATTTAAGTGGCGGAAGAATCAGGAGACACGGTAGTGGCTTGGTGTCAAGTGTTTAACAAGCCATGCCGGGTCTCTTAACGCGAGCCGTCGCGTTGCGAGCACCCGAGATTTTGAAATCTTAATAACGGTCGAACCGATTAAATTCCAAGTAGGCTTAATCGATAA